TATGTTAAAGCCATGTTCTAGGTGCTTTACAGTTAATAGTTCTCATCAGTCTTATGAGGTATGCTACACTCATGCTCATTTTATAGATGAAATTGAGGGAAAGAGAGGTTAAATAGCCAACCAACATCCCATTTGAACCCAGGGAATTAGATTCCAGAGCTTTTGCTCTTTATTTAGTAGGAAGATAGGATGAGGCAGTGTGTTCTTTTAGACATGTCTTTGCAGTGTTAAGTATTATGTTGTTTTAAGTATTGTAAATTGTTAGAATATAAGATACATTTATAACTCTAATGTTGCAAAGTTAGTTGGAAAATCATCAACTATTACACACCTTTTGGGCCAAAGCAACTTATTTGAAACTCTGAGAGGTATACAAAGGAATTACTCTGACTGTCTTGAAAGTATTCATCAGATATATTTAAAATAATGGACTGGATGTTCCCCACCATGGATTTATCCTTTCATCTTATATTAGGGAAAACAGACTTAGTATGGCACTTATACATAATGATTCTGAATAGAGGAGTTAAAACAAGAAAAATGTCATATTCTCACTCATTTTCCTAACTGAGTCATTATAGTTACCTTTTGATATTTCCTTGTATTCTTTCTGGATGCCAGTTGCTATTTGTCTTTATGAGCCTCTCTCTGCATCCAGAAAGCCTTAATTTAGTATAAGAAATAAATTATACACATGTGAAGAAAAGTCATAAAAGTGATACTATGCCAATTCTTATGAAATGACATAAAGAGGTATAAGATGAATTTATCAGCAATGAAGAAACAGAGTAATGGAGTGAACAGATTTGGGATGACATTAAGCAGGGAAGATTTACTAAAAGTAATTTTAAAGATTTTAGGATTTCTGACAAGGATTGGCAGGAAGGAAAAAGAAATTTGTGATGAGGAAAATGACAAAGTAAAAAAAGATTCTGAAACAGGAATTAGCAAATAATATATAGGGAAAGGAAAGCAGACATAGTGATGAGAGCAGGATTTTCTCAAAGCAGCGAGGGACCAGACCACTGGGGGTGTTACACTGAAAGGAGCATGTTGTTTGAGGGATTTTCTGGAAATCATCTTTATGATTGTGTCTCTAGAGAAATTACTGTGAAATCTAAACTGTTGTTTTTTAAATGAATTTTTGGAAATAGGCTGTTTTAAATTAGGACCTGCCCAGAAGGTAGTGTGGTGAGGAAAGAGTTCTGCATGATGGTCAAATGACTGGCATGTAATATCCCAAATAGCAATTCTATGAAAAGCCACTGCAGGTGCGAGCTTATTTAAAAACAGACCACAGCACAGGTGCAGTTCTCCTTATAAACATTTAACCACAAAACACTACCCTAAAAGTCTACGTGGAAAGCCGTTGGAAAAAAGAATTCAGTTTTTTTGTTTGTCTTAATTTTTTCATGTTTAAAAAGAATTTGGCCATGAAATTTCTTCATTATATTTTGAGTTCTTTTTTAAATTTAGTTTTTGCTTCCTGATATCTAAATACAAATTTTACTGGGATTGGACATAGATCAGTATTTGAAGAACTTCTGTAGGCAAGAACCAAAATGTTCAGGATCTTAAAAATGTCAATTAGAAGCAGTTTCTCTACATAGATATGAAATCAGTAATATTAATGTTTTTTGATTTTGTGGGAGGTGAAATGGACTAGAAGTTAGGAGGACAATGCTTCTAAAATTCAAACTAGATTCTATAGTTGTATAATTCAAATAGGAAAAAAGTAACTCTCAGACAGAAGTCGGTGGTGTCATGTATTGTGGTTTTCCCTTCCCTTGGCTACAGCTCCGGGGCCTTCCTCTCTGCTTTGTCCTGCACAGGCCAAACTCTTTCCCTTCTTGTGTCTTTTACTTGCTGTTTCCTTTCTTCTTGGAAGATAGTCTGTCTGACTCTGTTGGATGCATAATAATATCCCTTCCCGAACTCAAATGTGCATCCCCTAATGCCTAGAACCTGCGAATATGTTACCTGTTGCATAGCAATGGAAGGTTTGCAGATGTGATTAAGGTGTAAGCCTTAAAATGGGGAGATTATCCTCAATTATCTGGATGGATCCAGTGTAATCACATAAGTCCCTAAAAGCAGAGAAACTTCCCTAGCTGGAAGCAAGAAGATGAGGCAAAAGCAGAGGTTAGAGAGATTTGAAGCATGGGAAAAATTTGACCTACTGTTGCTAACTTTGAAGATCAAAGGGGCCACTAGCCAGGGAATGCTGTCAGCATGTAGAAGCCGAGAACAACCTCCACCTGACAGCCGGCAAGGAACTGGGGACCTTAGCCCTAAAAGCTCAAGGGACCAAATTCTGCCAACAACTTGAATAAACGTGGAAACAGATTTTCTGCCAGAGCCTCAAGATAAGAGCCAGGCTGGCTCACACTTGTTTCTACTTTTGGAAACTGGAGCAGAGGAATTAGGTGACCCTACCCAGTCTTTGGACTTACAGAACTGTGAGATAATACATCTGTGCTGTTTTGAGCCACTCAATTTGTAGTAATTTATTATAGCAGCATAGAAAGCTAGTACAGGCTCCTTCTCATTTGTTTCCCAAGGCTGTCTCCTAAAATAGACTACCTCAACCTTACCCCCCATGCTTTCTATCACATTACCTTATTTATTTCCTTCATCGCATTTATCACACCCTGTGACACTTTTATTTATTCTGTTTTTCTTATCTGTATTCCCCGCTAGATAAGGTCTCCGGGGAGGCAGGGCCTCGTGGGTCATGGTCATCTGTACCTTAGTATCAAGAGCATAACGTGTCAGACATATTTTAGGTCTGCAGCATACATTTGTTGAAAAGTAGTTTTTGATATAACAGTAAGTGGCGTAACCCGAAATGGGGTAGTAGAGACTTTTTGGCAAACCATCATGTATCAACATTATGGAATATTACCTAACTACTTCAAAGGTTAACATGTGTTTTATATTGGTTTTTATATTGGTTTTTAGAAATTGATATCTAAAATATGTAAGTGACAAAATTATTTGCCAAAAGTATCGTGTAAAATGTAATTATATATACTTTTAAACATTAGAAGTTAATTTTGGAAATAGGTTTAATATTCTTAAATCTGCACTCAGTCCTAAGAATTTGCTTAACTTATAATAATATGCAAAATGTGGGCCAGTATTTATTCTTAATCTGCAAAATAGATCCAGAGTTAACATTCTGAAAGAGAGAGGAAAGGCATGCATTGTTTGGAGTGATACTTAGTCTTTTAAAAAATAATAACTCTTAACTGTTTTCAATTATTATGAAATATATACAAGTTGTAAAGGATAATACAACAAACATCCATATACTACTACTCAGTTTAAGAAATAAAGCTTTACAAATGCAGTTGTAATTGCTTGTATACTCCTTAACATTATTATGCCTATCTTTAAACTTTTGTTGATAATGATTTGTGGTAAGTTATGTCTGCTCTTGTGGAACTGGAGAGGAGTGTTCTACAGGAGTTTTAGGAAGACCTAGCAACACAGCCAGGATTTTTGTGGGGAGGAATAGATTGCAAATCAGATCAAGGGCTTTAGCTCACTTTGATCATAGAAGAACTCCCTCTTTAATAATCTTTGTGAGTAACTTTATGTACAATGGAGTTGTGGAACTTTGAAGGACTATAGGGTGTTTAGGGACCTTCCAGATGTTTAAACTGGTAGCAATGACATGTTAGTTTTATTGTGTTTATATGTACATAAAAAAGAATTACCCACTTTTGAATGCCTCACTTCTCTTGGAGATCATTTTTGCTGTTAGCTTCTCTTGGTACAAGATCTTTCTTCCAGTGCTAATAGTATCTTTCCTCAGTTTATTTTTCTGGGTTGATTCAAAAGTTGCTTTGTATTGTTTAGTGTCTCACAAGCATAGAAGGTAGAGATACAGTATATATGGAGAAGGTGTGAAGGCTGTGTTCCTGACCCTGTAATGTATTTTAGAAGCTGTGTTTTCGGAGCTTATTTGGAAAATGCCATTCATTACCAAAACTTATTTTTCATAAAAAGTTCAAGGACAAATGTAAACAATGAAGTATTACACTAAATACAGAATTTAATCCATTAAAAGTAAAAGGAAAACAGGAGAGTTCAGCTTTATCTTGGATTTAAAACCAAGATGGCTATTAAAAAATATCATCATCTCCTTTAAGTGTTTAAGTGGTGAGATGCCAGGATATCAAGGATCCTTTTACATTACGGAAAATTTTCAAGGGGAGAAAACATATGATATTAAAGATAGAAGCTAAAGAGCAATCAATTATTTATGATAAGTATTCATGCTATCCTTATGGATACAATGGAGAATTGGAGCCTTTATAATAGTATAAGTTAACTTAAAATGAACAACTATACCCAAACTGTGCTTATTAATGGATTGGTGTTGGCTTACAGGTGGGACTTTAGATGTATGCCATTGAAGTCTATCTTTAATACTATCCTATTGAACATTTTAAAAAATGACTTAAAGATTCTGATGGCATGTGTTTCAAGTTTGTAGATGCTGTAAGGCTGGAGAAACAACTAACATGCTATGTTTTCAGAATCTGGACTAAAAAAAATTGATGGTTGTATGTTGGTCTGACTTTAGCAAGGTAAAACGTAGGGACCAGGCTAAATTTCATTTCTAAATCCCACTGTTTAAGTATTAAATGTGGGGAAGCTATTACTTTATAGAAACACTTATTTTGTAAAAGGGGATCTTAGTTGACTGTACACTTAGTAGAAGCCAATAGTGTAACATAGCTGCTAAAAGAAATATAGTATCTTAAATGGCATATATTGAAAAATTTTACAGTTCTGCTGTTTTGTACTGGGTCAGGTAATGCTTGGACTATTGTGTATATATTGGTATACTACTCTTTAAAAAGCAACCTTGAAAATAGGGAGCCTGTCCAAAAGAGACTTAATATTTTAGAAGACCTAAAATTAGAGTTAGTTCTCAACTCCTTGTGAAAATGTTCTGCATTCAGCCTTAATTCTTCAATGTATTTTAGGCATTCTTTTGCTTGCATCTTGGAAGTGAGCAATAAGAAAATGTCATCCTCAAGGAGCAGAAACAGATAGTAAATAAGGTAAGAATTTCAAATGATAAACACTGTGAAAAAAATAGAATAGGGTAATGTGACACTGACTGGTGCTTGGTTAGAATCATTAGCACCCGGGGAAATTCTCTCTGAAGCAGTGACATTTGACTTGAGGCTTGACTGATCATGAGGGACCATTCATGCAAAAATCTGGAGAGTGTTTCATGCAGCGGGACCTGAAAGTACAAAGGCCCTGAGGAGAAGTAGCTGGAGAACGGGGAATGAAAGGGAGAGCAGTGGGAAATCAAGCAAGATAATGAGTTTGAATTTATTCTAAGTGTAATGAGAAGCCTGTAGAGTATTTTAAGTCAGATAACATCTGATTTACCTTTTGAAAAGGTTACTCTCTGCTGATGATCTCTGCAGGGACCTTGAGTTATGGGGGTAAGACTGGATGTAGAGAAGAGTTTGGAGCAGTGAATAGTTGAATGAGTTATAAATATGAAACCATTTTTTCTCCTAATCATTACTTCCAAGTTACCATGATTACATTTTACTTTGCTGTCCCTTGACAATGTTTTATGAAGTTCACTAATTTTGATAATTTTCCATTATTAAGTATCTGGTTTATTTGTTGTGAACCTAGAATTGCTCTAAAAACATAGTTTGTTAAAACAAAAGTCTAGTTCAGTCTAAAAACATATCTCAACATCCCATTAGAAGCAAAGATGGTATAACAGTGACCAAAAATATCCTCCCACCTGAACAACTAAAAAACCCTGACAAAATTAATGAAACAATAATTTTTAAGACATTGGATGTTGGGCATGAAAGACAGTGATGGGAAATGAATGAAGAGACCTCTGCAGTTGCCCCAGCTCATTGCCTTGGGTTTGCAGGCCATGGCTTCCCTGGGGAAATCTGCCAAACATTTATTTTTTTGAGAGGGCATCTCTCATATTTATTGATCAAATGGTTGTTAACAACAATAAAATTCTGTATAGGGGAGTCAATGCTCAATGCACAATCATTAATCCACCCCAAGCCTAATTCTCGTCAGTCTCCAATCTTCTGNATTATTATTATTTTTAATAAAATGCTGAAGTGGTAGGTAGATGCAAGATAAAGGTAGAAAACATAGTTTAGTGTTGTAAGAGAGCAAATGTAGATGATCAGGTGTGTGCCTGTAGACTATGTGTTAATCCAAGCTAGACAAGTCTGCCAAACATTTTAAGAAAAAAAATCTTACTAATTTTTATAAACTCCTCCAGAAAATCAGACCAGAGGAAATATGTCTAAATTCATTCTATTGGGCCAGCAAATCCTGATAACAAGACCAGGCAAAGGTATTACAAGATAAGAACATCTCAGATCAATATCTGTTATGAACATAAAAGCAGAAGGTCTAAGCAAAATTTTAGTAAGTTGAATCCATCAGTTGGTAAAAAGGATGTTACATCCTGAGTAAGGGGTTTATCCTGCGAATTCAAGGTTAATTTAACATTTAAAATTACCATATTAACAAACCAAGAAAGGAAAATCATATGGTCATTTCAGTAGATACAGAGTATTTGAAAAAATGAAATATGAATTTCTAAAAAAATATTCAGCAAACTAGGAACAGAAGGGAAGTTTCTCAATTTGATAAAGGAAATTTAAGGGAAACCTAATATCATATTTAAAAACTTAAAGAAAAACCCTGAATTCTGAAGATGGGAATTTTTCAGCAATGTTATTGAGATATAATTGATATACATTGAACTGTACACATTTAAATGGTACAATATAAGTTTTGACATTTCTATACATTCATGAATTCATAACCACCATCAAGATAATGAACAGATCATCTTTCCTAAAAGTTTACTCATGTACCTTTGTAATCTTTCCCTCCCTTTCTTCTCTCCCTGTCCCTGCCTTCCCAGGCAATCACTGATCTGCTTTCTGTCACTATAGATTTGCTTGCATTTTTTAGAATTATTTATATTAAAATGTTACATATTTTATATTTGATTTAATACAAATTTAATATAAAAATAATCACACTTGAAATATTTTAAAATAATATTTTAAGGTACATGGTTATGTATTTTTATTGTATATATTTAAATATTATATATATAAAAATATGGAATCACACAGTATATACTCTCTTTTAATATGTTGTTTTGCTTCTTTCACTCAGAATAATTATAATTATTTTGAGATTTGTCTATGTTGTGTGTATCAACGGTTAATTAACTTTTGTTGCTGAGTAATGGATATACTGCAATTTGTTCATCCAGTTTGTTTATGGACATTTAGGTTGCTTCCATCTTTAAGCTATTAAAAATAAAGCTTCTTCCATGTTTCCTCTGCCTCCCACCACCCCCAAGTCAGAAAAACTCTCGATATATGCTTTTTCTTTTTCCACAAATAATTGTCATATATCATTGTGTAAGTTTAGATGTACAATGCAGTAATTTGATACACACATGTATTCTGAAATGGTTACCACAATAAGGTTAGTTAACACAGCCTTCACCTCACATAATTTCCATTTAGTTGTGGTTATGGCAAGAGCATTAAAGCTCTACTTTCAACAATATTATTAACTAAAGTCACCATGCTGTAATTTAGATCCCCAGAAGGTATTCATCTTATAACTAGAAGTTTGTACCCTTTGACCAACAATTTCCCCATTTCCCCACCCCTTAGTCCCTGGAAATCACCATTTTACTCTCTGTTGCTATCAGTTCATTGTTTTTGGATTCCACATATAGATGACATGATACAGTATTTGTCTTTATCTGTCTGAATTATTTCACTTAGCACAATGCTCTCAAGGTCTATGTTGTCACAAATGGCAGGATTTCCTTTTTTTTGTGGTTGAAAAATATTCCACTGT